ATCCAATTGATTCTTGCATGTATATTGATCGAAAAAGGCGAACACCATCAACAGATTCAGGATGAAACTAATTACAGGCACTTTATTATTTTGCTGCCTACATGCAACATATGTCATTTATTTACTACTTTAGCAAGGGGATCTACTGTGTATTGATTAATTTAATACAGTCTTTGTTTTTTACCCATCCTTGTCTCATTGTACATGCCAAGCTGCCTCTCTTTGACAAGTAAAATTTGTGGTATGAGGCAATCAAGTATTATTGCCATACAGGTAGTGATAAACAGATCACCTTGCCTGTAACAAAACAACATAATTCCTACTTTTCAATTTGAAAAATCCAGGGCAAAGTTCAGTCCATAAGGTTATAATGCATATGGGTTAATGTGTTCTACAGTACTTTGTCAGTTTACTGTGTCTATATACAAGAAAATTTACTTGTCAAAGGGGAAATGTTGGGCATTAGTCCATTAATGAGTTAATTTGAGATGAAATTATTAATTCAATTTCATGCAAGATTAGAAATATCTTGCTTCGTCTGTTACTATAATCAGGATGATACCATGTAAAGGTACTGTACTGTACTGTACTGTACTGTACTGTACTGTAAACACATTTACTGAAGTTCTACCATTGTGACAGCACTTGTTGTGTTTGGCAAATGTATATGGATTCAGTTGTGGATTAACTTAATGTGTCAATGATGCATGGTTTGAAATCAAGTTGTAGAGCTTTAATTCTAGAAATACATGGCTAGTTGGTATAATATATATTTCACAGAAAACTTTCTCGCGTACTTTTTGGTTTAGATGAAACAATTGACTTAGTATAATTAGACTGATTGCAAGGTTTCTCGTTACTTCCCCGTTTTACGAGATAAGTTGCAGTAAGTCGTTAGAAAGCGTTCCGTATTAAACTAACGCTATCGGAAGATTTTTCCTCATTTTTTAATCATTTCTACACAATTTTTAATGTAATGAAAACTAAGTGATGTTTTTTCATGGTTTTGGTTTTCATAACATTAAAAATGTGTAAAAATAATTAAAAGATGAGGAAACGTCTTCAAGAGTACCGGTTTAACTCCTAAAACGGAGTTAAAATTATGTAACCCCTGTGTAGGGGTTAGATTTTAACTCCAATATGAGAGTTAGATTAACCCCAAAAGTGGAGTTACATTTTAACCCCAGAAATGGAGTTATTTGTAACCCCAAAAAACGGATTATTTTGAACCTTTTTTGCTAACCCCCTTTTCTGGAGTTATTTTAACTCCCTGAAAATAACAGTGTATGAATTAAACAACTGTACAACTTTATAATGTTCATGAATTTAATGAATATTCTGTAACGGCATATCTTTATTTGACAATTGTGTATTAATTAAACTATGTGAAGTGTGTGGATTATCATATGTACAGGCCTAGACTATTTACATTGAATTGGTGGTGGTTGTTAATGAAGGAAAAATCTATTGTCTTCCATTCATGAACATGTTTTATATGGTGTGGAACTGTGTTTGTTTCCCCAACAGTAGTTGCTTGATGGAGGAATGCATGATGCCGGTTAGAGCTGGTATTGTGGTCGTTGGCGGGTGTAATGGTGTAGTGTTGCTGGGTGGAGGTGGTACTCCTAATGGTGGTTTGGAGGTGGGAGGTGATGGTTCCCTGTGTTGTTGGTGATGTGGCCATTTCTGAGAGACCTGCTTGTTTTCAGGTTTCGCGGGATGTGAAGTGGTTGCTGTGGTTTTGGGGCGCTTTGGTTGATGTTTGGTGTTTGACTTTGGTGTTGTTTTGCGTTTGGATGGTGGTTTGTGAGTGCTTGCGATATGGATGATAGTGCTAGACAACTCCTGTGGGAGATTGTCGTTCAGTTTTGTGGAAAGTGATGAGATTTGCCCATCAGTTTTGGATGATTCCTCTGAGTGGTGTTGGCATGGTGCAGGATGTCTGTGAGGTGGGACATGCAGTTCTGGATGCCAGTGTCCCATGCTTCCTTGAGCTTTGGTGACAGTTGGACCCAGGGTTGAATGCTGATGTTGAGGCCAGCCGGTGTGGTGTGGTTTGTGATGTGTTTGTTGAGAATGGTCAAATGTCGTTGATGGTCATTCTTGCGGTGATGGAGTTCGACAAGTTTATTGAACATGGTGGTTGTGTTATTGGAAGTGATAGGTGGTTAAGGTGTGGTGGTGGTGGTGATTTGGTGTGTTAGGGGGGTTTGTGGTATGATTAGTTGGGATGTGGTTGGGATATTGCTGGGTTGGCCCATGTCGGCTGGCAATGTTAGGGTGAAGGTGGTTTTGGCTGAGGTTGGGGTTAGGATGGCATTTGGGGACTGGATTGGGGTACTTGTAGGCTGGATCTGGGTGGAGGTTGTGGTTGTGTCCATTGTGCTGGGACTTTGGGATATGTTGGTTGGTGTGTCAACAGGTGGGGTGAATTGTGGGAGAGTGGAAGTCGAAATTGGGTTGGTTGATATGGTGGATGGTGAGTCGGATGGTGTGCTGGTGAATAGGTTGTTCTCAAATTCTGGGTCTGATAGAACCAGCAAACGTTGTAGCCCCTCTAATTCAAATTGAAATTGAGTATGACTTTGGTCAGTGTCCATTTTGGAATTTGTCAGGATGGAAATCTTCTAATATTCTGATAAATGGAATTGGGTGGCAATATGAATGAATGTGTTGCAGTGTTTTGCATGGACATGAACCTCATAATTATAATTCTTTGTGAGGTTGGATATAGAACAGGTTTGTTGATATGGAAAAGTGATTATGAATTTGTTAATATGTTTATTATTCGATTCATTGTTCAACCCATGTAGCCATTATTTATTAATTTACCAGGAGATCTCTTGATACTTAACTTTTTTCTGCCAATACAAAGCAATTTGTTGTTTGTTTTTTAGAATTGGATCAAAAAGGTGGTTGCAGGTATTCAGATCCTGGAATGCTGTGAAATGGCCCTGCTGGACCTGTTGGGACATTCTATGGGGTGAACATCAAATGATGTGTGGAGTGAAATGAAATGAAATGAAATTTCGATTCAATGTGACTGATAGAATTGGAATGGTGTAGATAATGATGATTTTAGTGAATTATGTTATGATGATGCATGGTCGACCGTGATGATGTTGGTGAAGCTTGATTTATAACATAGATATGAAGTGATGATACTGGTGATATATGAGTTGTAAAATGGTATGAAACAAAAGCTAGGAAATCTTCTGCGGTAGGAAATGTGTTGGGAATATGAAAATACTTACTTGAAGTACGCCAAAACCTGCTCTTCTAAGAAGGGTTTCGATCACCGATTTCTTCACAGAGTAAGGTTGAACCTTTTCTTTCGCATTGTCGATATCTTCATCGTAGCTTACAATGGCTAATCTTTCCTCCAGGTTTTAAGGTTTTGGACGCGGTGTCGATGAATTTTTCCTTTTTTCGATCATTCAACCATTGAAGGACAAAGTTACTAAAGTGCCAAAGTGCACGTCGTAATACTGTTCGTTGAAATGGGGAAATGTACTCGAACTATCTCCATGTACAAATGTAATATTTTCGTGACCACCAGACCGCTGTTGCACGGCAACTTTGATTCTCTCTATGTCGGGATCTACGCCAACCACTTGAGTTTGTTTACCAACCATCTCGGCAAGAAAAGCGGTGACTTCGCCTGTTCCACATCCCATGTCTAGAACTTTATCTCCGTGCTTTATTTTCGCAGTAAATGAAAGTTTCTTCCCAAACTGTTGTTGAAGATCATTTACCTGCGAATACAACGGAGCATTATGTTTACTTTCGCGGACTGCACTGATTTGTCGGTATTGTGAAATGTGATTTAGCTTTGCAGAGTCGTGCAGACGGAATCCGCCAATTCACGTCTCTGATTTTGCACATGAACTAATCTACTGAAGTGAATAAGACTGATCCACCATGAACAAAAGGTCTGGGGTTACCAACAGAATAGAAATCCATTTTGCTGTTTTTAATCGCTTAAATCTTACTTTTTCTTGCTGAAACTCGCTGAAACTTTGTAATTATGTTTAATAAAGAGGGTTATAAATCTTCACCGTAAATTTGGCTTATTCTACTTTGGTCACCGTGCACAATTTCAATATCATAATTTAAGACTTTTTAATGTATTTATACCGAATATACATTATGAATATCTCTTCTAATGTAATATATACGCCAAATAGTGTGAATAAATTGAACTTCAACTTGAACTTGGGAAAAAAGTAAGGTATATTTAAGCAGAAATTTTGTAGTTTTTATCGAAAAATTGATTTCTTTTTGGCAACTAGCTAGTGCTAGCCCTTTTCCGTGCTTTCAGATCACATGGATGCACGCCACTTTATAAACATTGCTGAACAAAGAAACTGGGTAAATTATGGGCAAATATTTATTTTAAGTACGAGCCAGTAACGTCATTCGGGAGACATTGTAAATTTACTTCATGTCGTTTCCCAGATGAATGGTAAAAAAAATTATGAAAGTAGATTACATAGGTAGTGAATGCTTTGGAATTAGTACTACTGCATGCTTTAATACGATCTTTCGTGCACGGTAACTTGGAAAACACAGAGTCGGAGTCCCAGAGCTTGACATCATAAAAACGCATTGTCGTGTCCAAAACACGGAATCTGACGTCAAGAAAAATACGGGAAATACGGAGTTTGAGTCAGAGAAAATATCAGGGTGCGATAAATCGCGTACTTACGTACCAGAAGTACGCTATATTACGGACTGGGACTTTTTTCAGTCAAGTACCGATTAACCAGGTACTCTGACGGAGCCTGGCGTCAGTGAAAATATAGAAAGCAGATAGTCGTATATACGTGGAAAACACAGAGTTTGACGTCGGGTAAAATATGGGAAACACGGAGCCAGATATAAAAAATTGAAAAATACGAAGTATGAAGTACTATTTAAGGTTACAGGACACCCTTTTTGGCGTTTTTCGGAAAATCGCTACTGCGCGCTCAATGTCAGTCCGATTTTAATCAAAATTTCACCAAATGTCGCCAGTGCATGCAAAATATGGTAAAGTTGTACAATTAACAAACAATAAAATAATGTAAGAATTATTCAGGAAAATCTTAAATCGCGGTACCGTTACGCTTTTGAGTTGTGCTCCTGTTGGTTTTAAGTTATATTTATGAAAATATCATTTTTATACAGTAAAATAGTTGTTCTAAAAAATTGTGTTCGGAAATTTTTGTTTATTTCTTCATTCCGCTGATATGGCGATTTCTTTGACGACTGCAATATATTTCTGAATTGTTTGAGTGAATTGCTCTTTATTATTAAAATATCCAAAATTAAAAAAAAGCCGAACACAATTTTGAAACCGACGTCCTTAGCTATATCCTGTGAAAATTTGAGAAAAATTGGTTAAAACCCGCAAGAGCACAACTCGTTTGAAAATCAGTAATTACCGTAAAATTCTACGGGAGAAAATTTAATTTGAATATTACATTTTCAATGTTTTTCTTATTGCAGCGAAATGTATTTTATTAAATAACTCTGCGAGTTTTCAACATTTTTCGTTCAAACTTGGTCAGATAGTAGAACTAGTCTAATGCTTTCATGGAAACTAATAAAAAATTTTTAGGCAAAATTAACACTCAAACGTGTTCTGTAACCTTAAAACACGAGTAGGAGTGTATTATCAGATATAAAACGCGAGGCGCATCCGAGCGTTTTATGTCTGATAAAACACGACAACAAGTGTTTTGAATAGCTTAAAATACGACTACAAAAGAATACTAATTAGGAGGAACCATTATATAACCATACTGATTAGGATGAACAATGATATAATGCCACATGCTTTATCAGATATAAAGTCACTCCACGTGACATATTATGGCTGACATGATTTGCCACAAGGTTTATGAATTATTAATGAGTATTTTAAGTAAGAAAAATACCATGCATTGTTAAATATGGGAAACACGGAGACTGCCGTACGTCGTTAAAATAATTGGGGCAAGCCTGGGCGAGCCCCACAGTTTGGTGGCTCATCGAGTTCAAGCGCAATGCATTATGGTGCGTTCGTACGTACACGGAACTTTTCCTGCAGTGATTTAAATCCTACCGGCTTTTCCTCTCGCACCGGCTATTTTGAGAACTTTCAGTCTTTATACAGTGATTTACAGTAAATTTTACGGGCCTTACGCCTCTCACCGGCTGACAATTTTTCATGCGACATGCGATGAGTATTATTTACAGTGGTCAGTATTATTAAGCCCGTCGCAATTTTACTTTACTCGAGTGAGTTGCGGTTCAAATTCTGATACAAAGCCCGATTTGATTTGTCATTTGGGCTGAATATTCTGTAATTCTGTCAGTATTCTTCTCTAAAAAAAGACCTTATTTGCAAGTTTTTGCAATCTGGCTCTCTGTATGATGCATTAAATGTTTTGTTTAATACATGCAGTATATTTCATCGCAATTTTACTTTACTCGATTTCTGAGTGAGTTGCGGATCAAATTCTGATGCAAAGCCAGATTTCGATTTGATTTGGGCTGAATATTCTGTAATTCTGTTATTCTTCTCTGAGACTGTGAAAAAAAAGACATTATTTGCAAGTTTTTGCAATCCGGCTCTGTAGAGTATGTATTAAATGTTTTGTTTACATTCAGTATTATTAAGGATTTTATAGGTCCGAGTTTTTTGTCAGCCCAGATTGAAGTGTAAATAGATACATAACAATTAATATATTCACGAAACACGAATGGAACGACAAACGTGGTATATGCGCCACACTATATCAGGTCATGATCGCGTATACACCCTTTGGAATATACTACAAAATATACCGCACAAAAGGTCGTGACTTCACCTGTTCCACATCCCATGTCTAGAACGTTATTCCTGTGCTTTGTTTCCGCATTAAATGAAATTAATTTGTTGCCAAATTGTTGTTGAAGATAATTTACCTGTGAATACAACACAGCATTATGTTGACTTCCGCGGACTGCACTCATTTTTCGGTATTGTGAAGTGTGATTTAGCCTTGCAAGGTTCTGCAAACGAAATCCGCCAATACACGGCTCTGACTTTGCCCTACTTTTGATCTAGTGGATAAAAATTGGCCAAAGGGGCGATCTTTGCAGAGAAACTTGACCGTTCGATGAAATCGGTAGTTCAGAGACCCTATTTTCATTGCAATATTTCGTGACAATTTTTTGGCCGATTTCTAGTTTATATTGCAGAACGGGTTCGCAGTGAATTAAATTAATTGTCTATCTTGTACAGAGTAGTAATGAGCGCGACTCCTTTCTGTTAATGGATGTTGAATTCATTTTAGACTTTTGTTCATATACAACAAGTACACTACCGAGTACTGAACAAGACGCCGATTCGGCGTTAACCTCGGGTCGATGGATAGGGCATCGTCTGGTAAATAATTATGCAAAAATGGTGTAAATCACGATAGTTCAATAGTTCGCTAGTATAAATGGTGAATCAGTCAATCAAAGCTACGTTTTAACATTTTATTGATAATAATTACTGACCCTCATCAAACCTATTGTTTTCTCTCTGCATTATATCAGCGGATGTCGAGAATTTTTAACGTGCTACTGAAAAACGGGAGCGGTGATTGTAGGGAAATTTCGGCCCAAGGTAAATATTTATACGGACTAAAAATAGCACACAGCATTATTAAAAATAATGCAGCATGCAGACATTAGCGGTAGTGCATCTTCGTCAGCGGCCACCCCGACATGCACACGCGATAGCGTGAACATAAGATAAGATAAGATAAGATAAGATGAAGTACAAAGTGCTTACATTAAAATACTATAATAATATAAGATTATTTACAATGGTTGTTAGAACAAAGTTAAATTTTTAAACCGATCGGTTCGACATTTATAAGTTGATAATCGATCTATTTTTAAACCGATCGGTTCGACATTTATAAGTTAATAAATAATTTAATGATCTAATAAAATAATTATGCTCGTTCGATCTAGTCTGTGTCACGTGTTGTGTAAGCGGACCACCTCTGGTTATCTTCGTGAGTGTCTTCAAACATAGATGTAATATATGAACAACGAGAGTGAGTGTTTCACCGGGATATCCAAACACGAGAAAACAATGTATGAGAACACGAGCGCGAAGCGCGAGTGTTTT